CTTTCATCAAGATTATTGCTTGATTATTGTAGACACCTAGTACCACCCCATGACTTATTTGTAGTAAAATTTCATAAATTTATTTCAAGTCTAGTTATTGTAGATATTGATGTAGGTATATATTAGTGTTCGTTCACTTAGTTACTGTAGACTTTCACGGTCTTAGTGTAAACTTCTGTCCGCATTTACTAATCGGTTGTTGTAGACATGTATAAACAGTTTACCTGGATGTTACATACTACATAAATATTCATAATCTTGTTGGATGTTGTGGGCTTGCATAAAATTCCATTACTCATGTGCTGTAGATATGCACAAAGTTTGCTTTCCCGTACTATAGATGTTTCTAAAGATCCCTTCTCTTAATTCTTATAGAATTTTATAAATATTTTCCACATACTTCATCTAGTTCCTGCAATTAGTGCTTGGCAATTTGTACTGAAGTTCATTCACTCTGTTACTGTATACGTACATAAAGATCCCTCCACTTTATGCTGTAAATTTGCACACAGGTTTGTTCAGTGGTCGTTGTAGACTTGACTAAAAATTCACTTACTTGAATATTGTAAACTTTGGTAGAGATTGCTTCACATAGTTACCATAGAAGCGTAATAAGATATACGTGGTAGAGTCATTAAGTTCGTGGCATGTGGTTTTATCGCATCATGTTACAAGCTATTTACGTACACTTACGCAGATCCACATCGGACTTCAAAATAGTTGCCGTTGGCCGCTATGCAAGTCTGCCAACGTTGATATAGCTGTCCAAAACATAGCTGAAACCTATTGGCAGTAAATTCCCGTACGGCGCTTTGCGGCCCTTCCACGATCTTACTGACTGTGGTAGTATATTCACCATGTTACTGTAGACTTCCATAAAGGATCCGTCACCTTGTTGTTGCAGACATCCATAATTATACCACCATTTTGTTACTTTAGTCTGCCAGTCTAAAGTTATTTGCAAATTGATTGGTTCACTTTGTTATTGTAAGGATCTGTCCTGTCCGATAGTTTGGGGTAATTCCTAAGTAAGCCATCAGAAGAAGACATTGTGTATATTAGTCATTGAATTCAATAAAATTAAAATGGGAGCGCGCTGCAGCTTACGTCATGCCCGAGCTGTCGGCTTAGGCGTTGTGATGGACATGAACAGATACATGTATTCAGTTCCAATTTTATAATTTTATGTTTTGGGGAAACTGTATTTTAATAGAGCTTGTCTGATAGTGATTGCTTATTAATATCGTTACTCCATTTAACTGAGACAGTATACTTACGAACTGGACTGTCCGCGTTCGATTCCCCCCAGAACAAGATTCTTTTCTTCTTCGTAGAGTCCAGACCGGCTCTGGTGCCCACCCAGCCTCCTATGTAATTGGTACCACACGCGATTCCCCGGGAGGTAAAGCGGCCAGTGCGTGGAGCCGACCACTCGCTTCCATCTAGTGCCGAGATCAAGAATCTACCTTCACTCCATCATATGCCTTAATGGCTTAATGCTCAGTGCTTAATTAATTAAGCGTAGGGACAACTTTACCTTTGCATTTTTACAGGATGTGTTTCCGAAACTGCGATTTTGTTATGTAAAATTATGTTTTAAAATAAGTAATCCTACCACCGATATACGGTTATTAGTGTCATTTAAGCTCGGAGGCACAGGGTTCAAATATTGGGGTGGGAACAGGCTATCCTGACAGAGGTTCTCGATTCTTTCACTACATCCTAGCGAATTCAGTGATGTGTTGAAATAGGGGCAGTCGTTTTCTTTTCGTTTGGCGCTACAGCCCCAATTTGGGCCTTGGTCTACCTCCATGAAACTCTCCGTTTCACTTCGGTTTACTAGATCTTAGACATTCGGTAGGACTCCTTGGGCGGGTGATCAGCTCGTCGCAAGGTCTCTACCTGTACACAAACACAGACAAACGCGTGCTCGCGCGCACACACACACACACACACACAAACAAACATCCATGCCCTGGGTGGGATTCGAACCCACGATCCAATCGAGCGAAGACAGTACATGCCTTAGACCGCTCGGTTACCGTGACCGGCCACAGCCGTTTACATGTACTTCCAGTTCGCTGTCCGCCATCCTGTCATCTCCTTGAGCCCCCCATTCGCGCACTGTCAGTAAACAACAGCAGAACAACGTCGCATTGCGACGCAAGAGACAACTTCCCCGTTACTCTTTTTTTTTGTCGTTTCATGAATCTGTATTTTCGTTCTTAACCCGGCCCTTTTGAACCGCACTGCGGACCCCTTCCTGCCTCTAAAGGCACGTCCACATTACTCGTGCTCGTGCTCGTGTGACTCGCTATGCTCGCGAGTAATGGGGACGATATGACAAGTCACGAGAAGCAAATTTTTAATTCAGAAACTAGCCAATAAATTAAAATAGACTACAGCCTATACACACTACGAGTAAATATACGGATCCTCACGCGCCGAAGCTTGGCGAACAACTGAAGTAGTGTGGACGAAAATTTACGAGCACAAGTAAAAGCCAAACGAGTCTCCCGACGAGCACAAGCCTGGCGAGCACGAGTAATGTGGATGCGCCGTAAGAATGTCCCTTTCCCTATCCTGTCTCTCTCCTTTGACGTTATGCCTCTTTCAGTTCCTTTCTCTCCCGTGTTTCACCTTTCTTTTATAGACTGTTCAAGGTCCGGCGTCGACGTGTCCTCCCTGTGCTGTTCAGCGATGTCCTCCGTAACCTCATTATTCTTGGTAGAGAACCTCATTCCCTGTTATATTTTTCTTTTTTTTTATGATCCAATTTCGATTTGCCGTTATGTCAGTCAGGTCTGTCAGCTTTCTGTGTTTTTCTGCTGGGTTGTGTTATTTTTGTTATGTAATTTCTCTTCAGGCAACGCCTGAAAGGAAAAAGAAGACGGTCTTTAAGGCGGTGAATATTGTGTACTTTTCTTCGTCCCTTACCCCTTACTGACTATACCACTAAGTAACCAGCCAACCAACCGCATTGGGGAGATTCCTTCCTGAGAAGCTAATAGTTCTTCATCTATTCGAGAAATTTATTGCATTATATTGTCACGTGTAGAAGGTAGTGCGCGTGACTTATAAGACGGGCTCTGCATTGGGTGTTTGGATTTATTAACATATTGTATATTCAACTCGGGACTACAGGCAATTATAGCGCTACCGCTGTTTCCACAATTTACAGTTGACCGTTACACACGCATTAGGGTTCTCAGTCTTCACTAGTCGTAACCTGGCAACGGATTTATCACAATCTCACTGTCACTTCAAATCACATATGAAGAATTCTTTGCACTGCCTAGTTCCTTTCCTGCCATTATTGTGCAACTGCCAACTTAATTCAATTCCTCTGCTTCGAGGCTCATGTCCTGGCAGACCGGCGTCTCAAAACTCGACTAACTCTTCGCAACTGAACCCTTTTTTATAAGCACTTTGCACGGACCACGCAGAAGACGCAGCCTAATTTTTTGTTGGGAAAGTGCGTTTACAGCGCCGTTGCGTAGCAACGGAATATATTAGATTTTTGCTTGCGTATTCGTTGTCGCGGTAATGTGTTTACCAAGTCGTTGCCTGGCAGTGAACGTCTATTCCGACTCCAATAATCCGGCTTTCGGGTGTCATGTCACAGTATGGAACCCGAAGGTCTATTGCCGCGGCTGCAGTTGCGTCATAGTGCTGCCCGTTCATTTGAATCCCGTCTACGCCCTTAAACGGAAAGTGGCACATCCATCAAATGTAATGAAGGCTTAAGTTGAGCCGCAGTGGGGGGACATGTTACTAGGCGCGGAATTGAGCCTCGGTTCGAGTCCACAGGCTTGCCCCTTCTCATCGCGTGACCAAATTTACATGCATCTAGAACTGTTACGATTGCTACCTACAGAAATCTTTTCCGGGCGGCAAAAGCATTCGTTATTCTGTTTAAGAGGCCGTGTATTTTGTGCTCCCCCACGAGGAAGAAAAGAGTAAAATTATGTACTGTAATTACTTGAATGTAACCCTCGTATAGTCATATTTGGGAAGTTAGCGCCTCTTTTGAAGAAGCCCGTGAAAATTTGTACGTTCAATATACGGAACTGATTGTACTGTCACGTGTTGCGATAACTGTAGATGGATTCTGCATTCGGTGGCTGGATTTATTGACAGCTTGTACATACGACTCGGACCTTTTAGTCAATACAGCGCTATCGCTGAACTACACCCTTTCCAGTTCACCATTACACACGCACTAGAGTTCTCAGTCTTCACTAGCCGTATCCTGGAAACGGATTTATCACAGTCTCACTGTCACTTCTAATTACAAATGAAGTCTTTGCAGTCTAATTCCTTTCTCTCCATTTCTTCACCGTCACCTCCGGCTGCCATCTCCAGAACTCGACCAATTTCTGGACAATAACTCAGTGACTGTCTTCCTCATCTGTCCTACATATTTAAACCCTGAAGATGGAGGCAACGTGTTTCTCCGAAACATATCCGCCTACATGACTAACGGGCTTCACAGCACTGACATTTATTCTACTCCTTGCATATTAATATGTAAAAGAAAATTTAATTAATCGTTGCGTTAATCGGAAAACGCTGTAAAAATGGCAAAGTTGTTCCTGTGCTAAACTAATTAAGCACTGCGCCATGAAGGCACTAGCTGAACGTGAGTGGTCAGCTTCACGCCCAGGCTGCTTTAACTCCGGAGAAAGAGTCCCCCGGTACCCATTGGATAGGAGGCTGGGTGGGTCCCAGAGTCGGTCTGGACGACGTGGAGAAGAAAAAATTCTTGACCCTACCTGAACTCGAACTCCGATCCCTCGGCTGTCCAGCCCGTAGCCAGTCGCTATACCGACTGCGTTATCCCGGCTCCCGAAAAACGCTGTTCTTTTATAAATTGACACTTCTTCATGTAAGGATGCGTGTTGCTTGTTCCTCTCTGTTTGCTTATGGCGTCCCGAAGTGCAGAAAGCGCGCTGTAGAGATCTTGCAGTGTTATGTGACTATGTATGTTGTGTTCCCAGAACGTCCTGCGGGAGCTGGAGCAGAAGAAGCCGCAACTGGACGAGCTGGTCCACACGGCAGAGAACCTGAAGGCCGATTCCAACCGGCAGCAACTCCACGGGAAAGGTAGGCTGCTCCTCCCGTCACTTGTAAGCTAACGTTAGCCCTTCAGTCCTCGTAAAGTTCACTTGAGACCATGTTATGGATTCATAGTAATTTCATCAGCAAACAGTGCACTTAAGCTGCTTTTTTAACTCATGTTTCGTATATGATTGAGATGGCTTTGTTTCGTTTTCATAGACCGAGATGCTGTGTTCTTACACAGAAAATGACTGCACGATTTTTGAATCACAATCCTCGCTGTATAGCTTCGAAGCGGATCCAACAGAAAACACAGTTTCCAGCTTTATAGCCCAACGATGCTTCGAATGTTGCTTAAGTATTTGTCGTTGCTTAACAGTGGACGCGTAACCTGGTCCCTCTGTTTCCGCTTTCAGGCGTTGTGTCGCAGTACATAGAATGGTTCAGGATTCTCACATCGGTGACTAAGAGTACGATGTTCTGTATTTTACTGTCATGTAGTTCTGTGGAATCTACCGTCGTTTCGAAGGAACATATCGCCCCCATCTTCAGTGTCGGAGAGTGAGCTGAGCAGGAAACCAGCAGTAAACATTCCCCATGTGTTTGAAGCTTTCTTACCTGGTATATCCTTCGACCCTGAAGATTGTGGCGGTGAGTTCTTTTGAAGTATCGGTGGACTTGTAACGGACTACACGTGATCAGAAGCCGGAAGATTGTGTACTCCGTATGGGGAATGGATCCGTTGCAAAAAAAAAAAAATAACTCGGAAGATTTTTTTTTCCTTACTCAACGAGTATAACATACGGAGCAATGAAAATTACATACGTTCGTAACAGCGGGGATTTTGTGATTTCGAGAGGATACTTTTAAATGTAGGCGGTGTTTCACTGGTGGGGATTGGTTTCAGTTGATTTATCTGCTTGTCTCTCGTGACCTGTTTTAATCAGGACTGTAGAAACGGAACAAACGAATATAACCTTTGAATTTTGTTAGCATCTCGAATGGTACAGCTCTCTTGCAGCAGATAAAAGTTCTATTACAATGCTTTTAAGGTGTGAATATACATGTTTATTTCCTTTTAGCCCTTATTTTTTTCTCCAACCTCTTTCCTTCCTTCCAAAATGGATGCTTTTTACCAGACCCTCCACTACGCTTGTAACGAACTTTAATCCATATATTTTATCTCTTTTGTCTTTCCATCCTGAATAAATTATATTCTCTACCGAAATGGATTTGAAGGTGATAATGTAATTGTACAAACACGCTCCGTGTTCTGCATATTTATAAGTTTGTTCTAAGCCGCGGGTAGTTTGAATTGTTAGATAAAAGTGAGTATGATGTGGAATGAGGGCTTATTTATAATTTGTTGGGAACTTCCGTCTTAAGACTTCTTAATCCCATGCTATGTATAATGTTCTCCCCCTGAAAGGAGACAGGTTTCTTTTTTTCTTTCTTAATCTTGTTAGTTCCTGTTTTTAGGATTTCATCTCGATAGCTTATGGCTCGCTTGAAAGCACTGCCACGTGGCCAGAGTCACACCGATCAGCGCCTGTTATAGATACTCTGCTAAGCACCTCCCACGTACGGGAATGTGATGAAGGATGGCCGACAGATATGTTGACAAGCGAAACAATTCGGACTTGCTCTCACAACGGTGACCGCGAGCAGCATTATTTTTTGGTATGCAACGTCGTGAGGCCGGCCTCTGTGGTCTAGTGGTCAGAGTTTCCTAGTTCGATTCCCGGCGCTACCAGATTTTCTGAAGACTAGTGGGTCTGGAACGGGGCCCACTGAGCCTCGTGAGCATAACTGAGGAGCTACTTGAATAGAAAAGTAGAGGTTCCGGTCTAGAAAACAGAGATTAAAGGCCGTGGGAATCCGTTGATCTGACCACGCCACATCCTCTATCCGCAAAAGTTGGCAGTAACTTGGCCGATAAGCGGCCGTCGCTCGGTCGGTATAGTTCGCTTGAGGACCAAAAGCCACGGAGTTTTCTTTTTTTAGCTTTTATGTAAATTCTTGTAGTCCGGAATGAGTTTCCCCTTACGTTTCAGATGAGCGTATGCCACAGTCTTCTGCGTTGAAGATATTGTCACGTTTATGTATATGACTGTAGACTGGGTTTGGATTGGAGAATTTATTTCTTGGCCGCTTATACACACAACCAAGATTAAAATAATTACAGCGCCATCGCCAATCTCCATAGTTTACAGATTACCACAGCGCTCGGTAAGCGTTTTCCAGCCTGCTGTGCCTTCAGCCGTTTCCTGGCAACGGGTTCCAACATGGAGACTTAGCGTGTCCTAGTGATTTGGAAAGTGTGTAGACAGCGACAGTGCTGTATTAGTTGCAGTTACGAGTAGAGAAACCACACAAGAAATGAGATGCTTTATACTGTCTTTGGGAGGGAAAAGATATAATTTTGCTATAATGATCTAGGGCTTCGTTCACTCCTCGTTTTGGTGAGGGTACCGTGAAAATGAAGGGGTTAGGATGGTTAAAAGCTGTGGCTTGAGGCAAGAACAGCAAAATCCTAATTTTATCAATTAATGGTGAATTGCAGAATTTGTAAATGTAATTTGGTAGACTTTACAGAAGGGCCATTAATATTGATGGATCTAAACCTTGAGAGCTGCATGAGAAACACGCAGTAGTAACTAAGAACTTGGGAAACTTGTCAGAATTTGCTTGAAGACAGGAAAACCATGAAAGTCTTACATCGAGTTTATTGGTGACGTGTCCTTCTGGATCCATACTGACCTCTAGAAATTAGCCCGGAAAACAAAAAGAATTTAGGAGTTGCCTAAACTGTGTGCTGATCTTCATTATTGCATGGGGCGATAAGGATTTAACAGAGTTTGTTGGATAAACCTTTCGAAAAACAGACATTTGATAGACGGAAAAAGAGATGGGAGGATGATTAACGTGGAGAAGGTTGATTGAGATAGGTCGTGAGGTAAGGCAGGTGGTAGAATCGCTGACTAAGGCCTGACTTTTTTAACAGTGATGAATATTTTCAGATATTTGGGAACGACTGTACAGAAAAAAAACTTGCTTCAGGAGGAAATGTCTTCGTGTCTGCTGTCTAAAAACATAAAAATTAAAATATACAAAGCTATAATTTTGCCTGTAATTCTGTATGGATATGAAAGTTTGTCTCTGACACTAAGGGAGGAACATAGACTGAGGGTGTTTGAGAATATTTAGAGCGAAGAGAGAGGAAGTGACAAGACTTTGAAAAAGCACCGCATAGTGAGGAGCTCTACGCCAAATATAATTAGAATGGTCAAGTCAAGGAGTATGAGATGGACAGGGCATGTAGCACGAATGGGGATGCGAGGAATGCATATAGGATACAGGTGGGAAAGCCAGGAGGAAAGAGACCACTAAGAAGACCAAGACGAAAGTGGGTGAACGATATTGAAATGGATCTTAGAGAGACAGGATGGAACGGTATGCAGTGGATCGATCTGGGTCAAGAAAGGGACCAGTGGAGGGCTTTTGTGAACACGGTAATAAAATGGTTCGAAGTTTGTGAGTAGCTGCACAATTGGCGGCTTCTCAAGAAAGGCTCAGCTCCATGAAGTTAGTTTAGTTAGTGCGGAACGGTTAGTTCTGTCGCCACGTGGTTAGTTCTACCAGAACACTCGGGCAGCCACCGTCACACGTTGTTTTGGACGGCGTCGATTTGAAGGGCAAGCAAATGTTCTGTCTGCCTCTTCGATAGGGAACCGTCACTTGGCTGTGACGTGAATCTCGTGGCGTGTTCATTCTGAATGATAATGACGAAAGAGAAGTCTGCGTTCTGACTTCCAAAATTCCGGACAGGAAGCTCGCATCTGTCTGCATGTTTGGTATAGGACATGGATTAGACACGCTCTCAATCCATGAGTGTAGAAATGAGTATAGGGGGTTGCTATGGCGACAGGCTTGTTGGGTGGTTGGGTGCACTGGCGAATAAAACCGGCGATGGTCGCGAAGTGTACATAGCAATATTGCTGGTGGCATATTCGCCGCTGGCTCACGTTGAAATGCATAGTTCGGGATGTGTGCATATTTTGGGGGAATGTCGCGACGAGACAAGGGCCATGAGGTTTGTGTGAGTGTACTATATGATAAACTGGAGTCCTTTTAAATGATGTACCGAATTTTGAGGAGTTTCTCTACATGTGCTGCGTTACAAGGCATAGTGTTGTAACGTGATTGACTGTAGTACGCGTTTGGATTGGTAATCGCATTTATTGAACACTTGAACACACAACTCGTGTCTACGCTTTGCACATCACTGTCACACAAAGACTAGTGCTCAGTCACGGTCGTCTCTGCGCTGCTTGGTAACGGCTACCAATACTGGACGTTCCTGTACTTACGGGCTCACGTCCTCTCAGGATGGCGACAATCTCACCCTAACCTCCTACTCTTCTGACTGCTATCTCAGGACTGTGTCATAATGGCAGCTGGTACTCGCTATATAGCTTCGGCACGGACCGCACAGAAACACCGCTTCAAACAGCTCTTCTCTTGTTTTTCTTCTTGGTGGGGGTGAGATTGAGTCCACTTGGTACTGCGGCCACTATTGGCCTGTTGCACCAGCTCCAATGATAGAGGATGATGATAGTGGAGTAGTTGGTGGAATGAAAATGGACAGGGGAACCGAAGTACTCGGAGGAAACCCACTTCAGCGCCACTTTGTCCACCACAATTCCCACATGACCAGACCCGGACTCGAATCTGGGCTCCCGCGGCGGGAAGCCAGCAGCAAGCCCAGGTCAGGTCATATGGGTTTTGTGGGGGGCAAAGTGGAATTGGGGCAGGTTTCCTCCGAGTACTTCCGTTTCCCCTGCCAGTTCTCATTCCGCTGACTGCTTCACACTCATCATCATCTATCATCCGGGGCTGGTACAATAGGCCAGAAGTGGCCGACATACCAAGTGGACTCAGTCTCACCCCCACCCCTAGAAACTAAAAAAACACTACTCCAGTCATTCACAAATTTTTTGAGAAAGTAAAAACGTAGAACGAACATCAAGTGTGTGTTAGTAAAA